ACTGAAGCATCGTGTTATAGCCAGAGAAGTGAGTCCATGGTGCTGTCATGGGTGCACCTATAAAGAGGCCGAAACATGTAATGCATGGTGAACAATGGGGAACTCCCCTGATGACCAGTGCAGTCACATAGATTATATATAAGACTCTGATTCAGGAGACTACCAATATCAAAACCTGTACATTTTAAGCGTTCGAATGCGTGTTCCTCAATGCCCCACACAAATATGGCGCCTAAAACTTTTTTAAGTTTGAGTTTTTTGACTCCCGTTAAAAATCTCTCTCTCTCTCTCTCTCTCTCTCTCTGGAAGGTTGAAATGGAGTGTGCTGGTTCGGAAAGTGAGGGAGAGGAAGAAGTGGAGGCAAACATTGAGTCACAGGTTTGGCCTGTACATCTGTACGACATAATATGTCCTGTTCAGGCATGCTGATATTACTTGTACTATACTGAAGCGAGCCAACTGAAGAATGCTGATGCTGTCACATAAATCGTAGTCAGTATGTATGTACACAAAATGGAAGTGCCACTTCATGTCCTGTTGCATAAAAGCTTGCAAATGATACTGAATGATATACTGTACTTGCATCTGTAGCTAGATCACTCACATAACTGTATTCTAGCTTTGAAGAAGGCACTAGCTGCGTACATGTGCATACACACTTTGTGCTATGTATAATTATATAGTATTTGTATGTAATGTGTACAATACAGTATAATGTACAGTAAGGTACATAAAGCGCCAGAGTGCGAACTTTGCACTCTGGCTTTGTTGGAGTTGGAATGTGACTTGTGATGGTAAGCATTGTCTATAGCAACCATCGTTGCAATTGACCAATCAGAATCCAGACGGAGTAGTCAAAAGCCGCTGGGAAGATGCCTCGGATGAGAGGCTAGGTTGGTCTATAATGTAGATGCAGACACACCCCCTTTCTCTTTCACTGTAGTCCTTACATTCACACTGACTAAGGCCAGCATGCACAGCACAACTTCGCATGCTTAGAATTTTTGCAGTTGTAAATGTTTGTGTGTGCACTTCTGTGTATAATTATTATAACTTATAGACACTTTTCTGCAACTGTGCTTAATGTGGATCTAATATATACCATACTGTATATATATGCTTCAGATTACTCCTTCCATTTCTATTCTCTTCCTTCCCTCCCTTGTCTCTCCCTCCGTCCTCACACTACAGACAGACTGGACGCCGTGGGCACATTTCGCAAGAGGAAGCGGCTGCAATCGGAACAAGAGGACGACAATGAGGAAGAGGAGGAACTGAGTTTACTGGAGTACCTCCGCAGACGAGACAAGAAGATTGCAACTGGGAAGAAAAAGAAAAGGGTAAGGCTAGGTTCACAATAATTATTATGGCGCATTGCCCTGTCACTCCGTGCCGTTAAAACAAGGTGCTTATGAATTATTAATTACCTCAGCTTTCAGAGCCGAACAGTACTTGCTACTCATGGTTCAAAGCACTTCCTGTTGGGAAATCCCCTATTGGTCTAAAGCCTTTCAAGTGCTACTCTATAAGCAGTTGTGTAACCGTGCTAGTTGCATGTGCAATAATAATTGTACATGCCCATTTTCGGGATTTTTCAATCCGGGCGGAGTGCCCGGTAGTTATAATGCTGCGGGAAACACTGCCTTAGACATCTACTGAAAGATCTTATGAATAATAGTTTTCCTGTCTCTACACACAAAGCCGTGAATTTTGCAAAAAGCGCCTCAGAGTTTGCAAAATTGAGTGACAAACATTCTAATTTCAATGGACGAGGCAGAAAGGTTTGGGTTTTTGGGCACTGCACATACCATAATACTTTATGTGATTCTAAATATGTTCGTAAGTGAAAACTGAACTGCTCGCCAAAATTGCGTTGCATTTTTTTAAGTTTTACGTGCACGTCTGCAGGTTCGCTGGGCCGACCTGGAGGCAAAGAAGGAAGAGGAGCGGCAGAAGAGAGAGGTTGGGTTCTGTATCGGAGGGACGTGGGGCCAGGTGACCGAGGAAGAGGCTCAGGCCATTCTCAGAGGAACGTCACCCACCTCTGGTGGCAGAGACTGAGGCAGCTATATAGTCATAGAATCTTACTCTCTCCGTAAATTTTCCACCTCTGATCATAGCAAGAACTACACTATACTGCTTTCTCTCTCTCTCTCTCTCTCTCTCTCTCTCTCACATTCACAAGTGAAACTGTAACTGTAATACCTATTTTCTATCACTTCATTCGAATTTCTTGTTACCCTCGGCGCGCATGCGCAGCGAGGGTACTGTAGCTGGGGGTTTGTCTGTCTGTGTGTGTTACTCTCAATCTCACTTCTAGGGTGTCTGTTCGTCCCAGAAACGATACCATCTACCCAACGGGCGACGAGGGTCAGAAAAGTATGTGGGGTTTTCTCTGAAAATGGTCCGTTGCAGAGCTAGAGCACTTCCAGCATTGTATGGCTAATGCTGCCGGTAGTCGCCATTTTATCGCTGGCGGGATAATGCGCATGCGCCTATATTTAGTACAGGCACACCTACATCGACCGGGTCCGGTCCGCTTGCTCTGTCTATCTTGAAGGCACAAGAAGTCACAACGAATGGCGTGTATCGACTCTCGCGTGCTATCTACTACTGTAGCTAGCCCGTGTCAGACTCTCTGCGAGCTACTTCGCCTAGGGTTTGCACTTTTACACTGTTCCCATTCAAGTAATGGTGGTGGTCTGATGGATAAGCACCCCCTCTCTTGATCGTGAGGTCCTGGTTCGATCCCGGGGGTTGTGCGCCTTTTTTACAATGATGTAATAGGAGTGTGGTATAAGTGGAACGTTTTTTCATCACCTCTCCAGGCCAGCCCGAGTGGCTAGGTGGTTAGAGTCGTGGGGACTGACACCATAGGTGCCGGGTTCGAATCCTCGATCCGCACTAAAGTGTCAGGTGGTCCAGAGCATTGGCTGGGAACAGCTCTGGTTCCTCCCCTTACCCACATATCTACCACTGAACCATGTTTCTCAAAGGGCAGCGTACAGTTCGGCATTGCACTACGTCCGTAGACGTCTGTCTGGAGAGATGAAGGGCTGGCCGTTTTTTTGGTTTTTTTCAACCTTAGGTTTTTTTTTGCACTAAACAATCCACAGGTAATACGAAAATTAATAGAGAGATGAAAGGTTGGCAATTTTTCTCCTTATATATTTTTTGGGCCTCAAACAGAAATGGGGCTGGCCATTTTTTTCAACCTATTGAATGGAAATGGTGCATAACATGCTGTTCTTTTTGATGCATGGTCAAGACCATCAATTGTGGTGGTGCTATACTAGTGTGCCGAGAGTTTGCACTTTAGTGCTTTTCATTTTCTGCTTCTTTGGTTACAACCTGCTCTATGTTGACAGTGTGACTAGTAATGAATGCTGTTTTATTTGAATCACTTGTATTGATAATTCTCTTGACACAAATTTATATCACGTGTACAAATAATACTAACTCCATTTTTTGAACAGTGTGAATTAGTAGAACCTCTGCAGACCCTACTCTAAGTTCTTACAACATGTGTATTATATATAGCTAGCTTTTAAAGCTGCAATTCACGTTTTTTTAGATTGTCAAACTGGTATATAGCCTAAATATTGTCAAACTGATTGTGTAGTTTTTCGTTCTCCAGAATGAGCTCCTTGAATGCGAGTCTCCCCAGGTTCTCGTGGGACGCCTCACTCATTGCCTTGCTACCGAGACACATGCGGTACTGTGCCGGAGGCAACAGAGGATCACACGTCTTCTCGTGCCACAGGTGAAATATCCCCTGGTCCGGCGCACGTACGACCTCCAGACTGCTGCGAATGAACTTTCTGTATAGTTTGACGTCCTCGAACCCCCATCCCTGGATCTTGGTGTCGAAACCTCTCATGGAGAGGAAGTCGGAGCGATACATGCAGGTCATGCCGAAACCAAAAGTCCTCCAGAACCCGGATTGTTTGTTCATGACTAGTTGGTCTTTCCAGCCAGGAACCGAGGGTTGGTCGCTGTACACGACCGATGGGTTGTATAGACTGAACACTATGGGGTAGAAGAGTCTCGAACTCGGGGCCGCGTTGAGTCGACAACGATCGAGGAAATCGGGCTTGAAAACGATGTCCACGTCGCAGAAAAAGAGCAAGACGTTGCCCTGGTCCCACACCTGCGCTCCGGCTAAAAGACCGACTCCGCGAGAAAACTCCTCGTCTTTTGCGATAAACTTGTAGTGCGAATAGTGGTGTTTTGCGGCGACCTTCTCGAGGATATCCTTCACCTCTTCTCGACCTTCCTTACCAAAATAGACGAGCGTGATAAAACACGTTGGTCCTTTTGGATGCAGGTTTCAGCAAACATGTCCATGAAGATCTTAAACTGGTCAATTCGACCAGACAGGGGGACAATCAGATTTATCCATTCTTCCTGACGATCAAATGTCTGCATTTGAACCTTTTGCATCGGAGCAAAAGGACGAAAAAGTTGCACCTGTTGAAAGACGTGTTTCTTGTCCTTCACTCTAAAATACATGTCGTACTCTGTCCCAACTGTACGTTCGATTCTCATGTATCCCTCAAGAAGATCGTGGAAAGTGTACTGCTGTTTTTCGTCGTCGTCGTTCAAAACTTCCAGAGCTTTTTCCATTACTTCGTCCATTTCTTTTTCACGGTCACCAATGGCTTTTGCCTCCGGCTTGTTCACCATCCCCATCTCTAGAGAGTATAGCTTGTCTTTACTGAATGACGTGTAGGGTATTACTTCAAACTCTGACCTCTGTTGAATGTTGAGCGTGCGGACTTTATAGGGGCTAATATCAGGAGCTAAGCGATAATCGTCTTCTCGGTGCCTCGGCCCACCCGACTCCAAATGTTGTAGCTTGTCGATGAGCTGCTGATTTCTTCGCTCTAACTCTGTCACTAACTCTCTCTGAATGTCTAGTTTCCGTTTTGTCTCTATTCCCTGTGCCCTCAGTCTCTCCATTGCACCTGCGTGCTGCTGCTCCTCTGCCTTCATGAGAGTCTGTAGATACTCCAGCTGCAGTTCTAGCTCCCTGCAGTTGCCATCGTTGGAGCTGGTTATACCTCTGCCGTGGAGTCTACTGCCGCGTGTTGGAGTGTTTGTGGACGTGTAGATGTACAGTGGAATCACTGTCACTGGTATTAGCAGTGCCAGGAGCAGCAGACAGCCACACTTTAGCTCTATCTTCATCCTTGTAGCAACAGTCAAACTCAAATCTTATACCCTTGTCTTTGCTCCCCCTTACTCCTATATAGCCTCAGTCCTCTGGATCTTTGAACTTGTGTTCGACTTCCTCAGTGTAGAGACTTTTCTAGGTTGATGATTACACGTACTCTTCAGAAGTTGGTGACTGTAGCTTTCTGCTAACGTCCCTCTTAGTCCTAGATTCACTCACTGAGCTCTGAGACTTGATTATAGAGATTAGGTAAGGTCTGCTTCCCTACTAGTGAACTACATATGTAGTTACTGCAGCTTTCTGTAAGATATTATAGCTGATTTGTGTACAGACTCCGTGGATACTGGCTCCATGACATGACAGGCATTGCATGGTACACTAGCAATACATGATGCCTTGTGGAATCCAAAGCTACATAGCTTTCCCCACTTATGGTTGCCAAGTGCCTCAACATAAAATTTTGATCACCAAACAAAATTCTTTTACGGACAACCCAAAAAATATTACAAGTCCGAAGGTAGTAGCCCAGTCCACAAGACCATAGCAAGTAGGACGCTGTCTTGGTGTCACGCCCACTAAAATTTCCACGTGAATTGCGCATGCGCGTTCTCGTCATCCACGGAGAGAGACTAGACACATGGCCGGTGTGTGGAGTCTGCGAGATATGGTGGACTTGGAAGCCGTCAGGTCGTGGCTGCCCCCCTCCTGGGTGCTGGCGACCGCTGGCTCTGCCGTGGTGGCCTACCTGATCTACAAGTCGGTACGGATCCTGCGTACTGACTGCGATCTGACGCTGATGTCCAAGAGTCTACGACCACAGTACTTTTCAGGCAGAGTGGTGTGGGTCACCGGGGCATCTTCTGGAAGTGAGCGAGCTCTGACCTCGTTCTTTAGCTCTATTTCTTTACTGTACCACAGTTGGAGAGGCACTGTGTCGTGAGCTATCGAAACACGGAGCACTGCTGATAATGAGTGCTCGCTCAGACCAGACTATGGAGACCATCAAACAATCCCTTGCTCATCCAGAGAATGCAAAGTCAGTGCAAGCTAGTTAATAGTCTCAGTTCAATAGAATTAGCTGAAACAATACGTAGTCAATTCTTTGTAGAGTATGCTTTTCATGCTAGTCACCATCACCTATAGTTGAAAAGCAAAGTCAGCTTTCCCCTCCATTTCCTCTACACCGCTGTGTGGACAATTCCTAATTATGTTCATACCAGACATTGTTGCTGCGTGTCTGTTGGCTACAGGATTCTTCCATTGGATCTCAGTGATGCTAAAATCTGCAGCTCCGCTACTGAGAAGGCTCTGGAACTGTTTGGTCGAGTAGACATCCTCATCAACAATGCTGGTGTGTACATAGCTTCATGCAGACAACGCTAGTGTCATCCTAACCTTGGAGCAGAGGGCCTGAAATATGCGTTCAAATATCTGAAGCTGCGCATTTTTATTCCAAAATGATACCCTAAACAGCAAATTTTTTGCTTTACTATGAAAGAGGCAAATTGCAGCGTGCTAGCTCAATGGGGAAGGGGTATATACATTTCGGCAAAATTAATCCGGTAATAGGCAGTAGAATAAAGATAAAATATTACATCACTTTCTTTAGGCACATATGGGTTGGATATGCAGATGAAAATGGGGTTTGGATGGGTGTTTTTTTAATGTTTGTGTATGTCCATTTTTAGGTGTGTCTCAGCGATGTTTCTTTATGGACACTGATGAAGGGACTGATGATGCAATGATGCAAATCAACTATAAAGCTCCTCGTACTCTAACTCAAGGTGTCATTCCAGGTTCGCTTTTTGGTATTATTACGAGGCATCACATTTCATGTGCCACTGTCCAATTTATAGTGTATTAATGATGAAATGTAGCTTACTGCTTTGGAATCTCATTTGCAAATCAGGTATATATATATACAGTTAAACATCTGAATAAGGGAAATCTTAGTTGCATCAAACTGTCCTTTATTCATAGACGTCCCTTATTCGGAGGTGATGTAATACACTATTGGTATATGGGCAGAACGAAGTATACTTTATAGAGACTATATAGTTGTCCCTTATTCAGAGGGTCCTGGTTTACACTCTGCATACTCTGCAGGTATGTTAGAGCAGGATTTTGGCCACGTTGTCAACATCTCGTCAATATGCGGTGTAAGTGGGATGCCTCTGAGGTCTACCTACTGTGCCAGCAAGTTTGCACTCCGAGGACTTACGCATACCCTTCGCTATGAGGTATTAGTTGTGTCAACAACACCAACTTTATTCAAGACTAAGTTTGGAGTCAGGAAAATGGTTACCCAATGCATAGTATGCCATGAGAAAAACAGGTGGTGAACATGGGTTACGAGTGAAAAATGCTGACCAACAGATTTCGTGATTCATAACTTGGTCTTAAATGAAGAACCAACCCACTGACACCGTGTAACTGTCTATGGCCCTTATTGTATTATGTATGTATTGTTGTACACTCCCTCAGCACAGTATTCCCCACAGCAACCTATTGTTCATCTTGCCTGTGTATACATCACCCTCTATAATGCCCAGTCATGCTCTTTAGCCCTTGACCAGAGCCTGAGCTTCAGTCAGAAGTCTCACAGTTGGCCAGCCCGCATGCGACGTTCAATTTCCAACTGTACATGGTATCTCTATATGGCATTTATTGTACCATCGGTGCCTTTGATATATTGACACATCTCGTTCTGCAACCTCCGTACCTCTGTCTCATGCCTGCAGTTCCATGATAAGAAGAATCTCCGTTTCTCTCTGGTGTGTCCGGGACCAGTCCAGACCTCAGGTGATCAGAACTCCCACATCGGTGGAGGCAGACTCCACGGGAAGTCTGACGACCTCAATCAACAAAGAATGACTGCTCAGAGGTATCTGAACCTTTCAGCGATATTTTTCGAACATGTTTTAACCCTTTGGACGCCACGGGGATCTGCTTAAATAAGCAGAAATTGATGTATGAAGTATTAGCCCTAGTAGTATAACCCCCATTTAAATTCTTATGGACTTATGGAGGCTCTGCACACATGGCTGTGTCTGCGGCTGGTTAAGTATTAAATAGCCAGCATGCCCTACTTGCTGCTCTACACAAAAGTGGTGGCATTAGTGAAAAGGGAAGATGACAATAGTTTCCAGTGAAAGAATGCCATTACGTCACTCAGCATTTCTAAATATAGCCCATTATTATACTGCCACATTCACTGCACTCCACAAGTTTTTGTGCATGGCCAATAATAGCTGTTGTTTGTGTGTGTTTTAGATGTGCTCAGCTGACATTGGTGGCAATATCTAACCAACTCCTTGAGGTATATACACTGTGCCATTCTTTTGAGTAGTATCTTTAAAAAGTCGTCAAAGTCGTAGGGTTTTGTTCAGTTAAAAATTATTATTTCCAAGTCAAACAGAGTTTCATATAATGTATATACTGAACATGATGGGTGGGATAAGGCCCAATTGAGGTACTTAATTATTATGTATTATGCAGTTCTATAGGAAATCGTCAAAGTCATATTATAATGATTATGCCAACTTGTATCCACAGGTGTGGGTGTCACGCAAGCCGGCTCTGTATGTACCCTACCTCGCCCACTACGCTCCCAGCACACTCCACTTCCTCTGGAGAGCTAGGTCTGGGGCATTCATCCATGAGACTATGGGAAGATCCAGCTATTGACTAGGATTGTGTGAAGCTTAATATTAATTTTATTGATTATTTACCCTCAGAGCGCACGACCATCCTGAAACGTGGGTTAGCATACATACATGTCTGTCTGTCTGAAAGTCTGTGTTACCACGGTTTCTGCTAACAAAGCATCCAAGAAAGTGGTGCAAATGTTTTAGCGACGGCTTCGTTTTTAAACTGGCGGATTTCCATATTTTCACTTCGTTATGAGGTGTATAATAATTAGATCAAATACTATCTCATATGCAAGCATCAGCATTCGCCTGCCCAAGATTATCTCTTATGAGGCGTATATTAGTACTATATATATCTCATACACCTGTCCAAAGATTATCTTAATGTATTATACATACATACAGTGCAACAACATGAATACCGGCCATGAAACAGTGCAACAACAACAACATAGTGAGCAAAATGGAATGAGTGACACGATGCATAAAAATGTGCAACCAAAAAAGCCACTTTCTCATTGAATACATACATACATACATACACAGATGTACACCTCAGTTGACAGTGTTGTACAATTACAGGTCAACAGTAGCAATCTGTACTGTTTGAGTTCTCCCAGTTGACCCCGAGTGACCTCCGACTACCATTACCTCGCGTCTCTCTGTCACCGTAGCAACGCAGCTCTGGCAACGCGAGACTGGCATCTCTGAGATTCTGTACCACTCTCCGTCCGTCGTGCTGTACTCGTACACGGCTCCCGTTTCCCTGGTATTGTCGTTTATTGCCCCCGACGACGATAATGATCGGTGCCCCTGTTCGTTATCGTTCTCCCCGCCAAACGACAGAAGATGGTCGTTGAACGTTACGCACGTCGAGCGCAAAGTTGGGAGACTTGTGGGTCGATGCCAGACCCCGTCCTTCGACGAATCGAGCAGAGAAGAGATTGAGGCGCTCAAAACGGCTTTGGTGGGTCCTTTCTGGGTGAACCCTCCGAGAACGTAGAGCTTTCCTTTGGAGATGCACGCCGATGCGGAATAGACTGGCGACGGAAGGCTGCACACTCGAGTCCAGTACATAGGGTCACGGTCGAGGCGTAGTATCTCAACCGTTCGCAGCGCCTGGTGACCGTTCCAACCCCCGGCGACAGCTAAAACGTTCCCGCTCGACACGGCCATGGCAAACATCCGTTTAGTGAGCATCGGGGGGAACTGCTCTTTCCACGGTTGTCTTTTCACCGCATGGAACGACTTTAGATGGATGCTGTACAGAAGATTTGTAACGCTCGCGTCGACTCTACCCCCGACAACGGTGAGTGTATTATTCACGGTGACTAAGCTACAAGCGTCGAGGGGACACGGCGGTGTTAGGAACCAGTCCTGTTTCGTGGTGTCGTAGACGTGGATCTCCGGGCTCCCGGCGACGCGGATGCAGACGAGGTTACCGAGGGACGTCGCGGAGCCGAGTTTGCCGGAGACTGGCGCGTTGGGTCCTGATCTCCATGTCATGGAGGAGAGAGTGGTGGACTGGGTGGTGCTGCTGACCCGAGTCTACCGCTGAATCTGAGGGAGGGAGGGGAGGGAGGGAGTAAAACAATGTAAAATTGGTACAACAGTAGAGTACATATCAATTCTATCAAACCTCTGCATGCTACGATTAATACAAGTGCCATTTTTATCTTTCAAACAGTACTGAGCTTGTGTATGTGTATGCCTTACGCCAAACATAATAATAACACGTACTGCCCCAATATTATACAATTACAGGGCATGCATTATTTGCTGAGGAGAGAGTAAAACTCACATTCAGCAGAGGTCCTCAACCTCTCCATCTCCTTCTCTTTCGACGCCAGCTCCTTCTCCATTCGACTGTTCCTGGTCTTCACCACCACCACCTCCTTCTGGAGCTGCTGCAACCTCAGACTCAGCTCCAGCCTGTCTCGCTTCACGGCCTCCATCTGCGCGTCTCGCTCCAAAAGCTCTCGTGATTTTTCCTCCACAGCACACTGCAGCATCTCCATGAGTTCGTCCTCTTTGCTGAGGATTCTCGCGTCTTTCCGCCCCACACATCTCTCTCCCCGTTCCTCTTCTTCGTAGGTGCAGCTCAGCACGGACAGTACCCCCAGATTTGCACGGTAGGTCCGCGACGTCGGAAACAGGTTTTTCCAGTTCAAACGGGTTTTCTTCGAAGCCGTGTCGAACGGGCCCGACCCTCCCTCCGTCTTCCAAAGCCTCCATGACTTGAACGTGGACAGGGAGCCAGCTTTCGTCCTCGCTCAAATGGCTGCCGATGCTCTGAGACCGTTGGGAGAATGTAGCCGGAGACTCGGCCCGTATTGCAGCTTTTAAACCGGTCAGACGGGTGCAGAGGTCAGAGGTGGAAGGTCGCTCTGTCTTGTCAGGGGAGAGACAGTCAGACAGGGTGTGGAGAAGGGGGTGTGTCTTTTCATGAGGTTGAACTGCGGGTAGCGTTTCTCTAGCTCTAGCTCACGACCTGGGGGAGGAGAAAGGGGAGGAGAAAGGGAGGGAAGGAGAGAAGTTAGAACAAGTATATACAACAAGTTTTCATGTGTAAGCTCTTTCCTGTGAATTTTTTGGCAGGGACACTAACGTACATACGTAACTGTAGTTGAACTAGTCGTTTTGGTGCTGAGTTGCAGAGCCAAAAACAGTTTAGTAACGATGGATTTTAGAAAGCAATCAATCAAAATCCGTGCATCAATCAATGGTGCGTTGTTAGGGGCACGAGCTAAATGAGGCACACCACATCATTCGCAGTCTCTGCCAAAGTTCTGCCAAAGTGGTCTCATTTCTGAGGCATTTGGCAATACAGTGGAACCCCTCTCTGAGGACCCCCCGTGAATGAGGACACCTCTCTAATAAGGACACGTTTTCATTAAGAACACTTTCTTCGTAACTGTAAAACAGCTGTATGTATGTTTATGAGGTTACCAGGTAGGTGGAGCTGAGGGGCGTGGCCAGTTACCAGCTGCATTAAGACCACACCCACAGAAAATATGTCCATCTCCTCCGCCCAGACTTCCGTCTCCATCCCAAATACCTCCGGAGCCATGTACGCCACACTCTGGGACGCCCCATCCACTGATTGGACGATGACCGGTAAATCGATTGAGTGAAAATCGCCGAGTTTCGCTCGGTGACTTGGAAACATAAGGATGTTGTTCCCCGATAGGTTGCCGTGGACGATGCCATTGGAATGCAGGAAATGAAGCCCCAACACTACGTCGTAACCGATATCAACCTGAATGTGGAGACGGTTTCCGACTGACGGATTTCGCTGGATAAACGACGACAGGTTTTCCGGTGCGAGCTCCATCAGCAGAACGGGGAACCCGGTTTCGTCGTCGCGATACACACTGAGACACTGGACGATGTTGGGGTGCCTCAGTTGGTACACACATTCGAATCCTTCCTCAATCTTCTCGATCGTTAATCCTCCAAAAAAGGCGGACGTTTTCGGCGAAATTGTCGAAAATAGCTCCGAGCGAAGTGTTTTGGCAGCACAGGGCAGGAGATCCAGGTGGGATTTGTACACGGTTCCAAACGAGCCTTCGCCGATGGACTGGGATTTGAATATTTGGACCCTTGGTTGCTGAAAATGAGGCGTGGTGTTCCCTCGGATGTGTTGCTGGCTTGTTTGGGCCATGGTTTGTATGGGAACTATAGTGAGTGGGAGAGGGAGAGGAGGAAAGAGAGGGAGGGAGAAATAGACGTTTGTAATGGCAGCTGCTGTGGCTAAAGGGTTAAATTCCACCTGTTGGTGTAAAAGGAGAACGTTTAGCCCAATCATTATGGGGTTACACTCTTAAATGACCCCTAATTGCAGAATATGCACTTCAAAGGGCCATTAGATACTTGGATCAAGTCACGCACATCTTGCTATTAGGGGCTGTAATACACATTGATGTCACTTGCACATGTGCAATAATAAAAATAAAATAAAACCCTGATAACCCACAAAGCGAAGTAGAAGAGCAATACATTAGATAAACCTCATCTTATACTCAACCTGTTCGTCAATTGAAGTATGCACACTAGTGGCACACTGGTCATGTGTACAGCTTTAAGCTTTCAGGGAAATGCAAAAACGTACACATTTTGTGCACACATACACACTCGGGAATGTATAATAATGTTGACTCTTGTTGTATACAGTATGTGCAGAGATACTAATGGAATTCTTTCTTTCTGTAGTTTAAAAACAACCTCATTAGGTCCCACACTAACACATTATCACTCCCACATTTCAGTGGAGTGAAATTCTGCTGGGGTCTCTGGACTTGGCTATATTATATAAACCTCAGCATTCTTAGCTTGCACCACAATACATTGCAATACACACTTCTACTTCAAAATCTGATACTGGCAGAATAAGGCAAGCAAAGCTTACCTAGTCACCTGAATTGCATTTTGTTTACATATAACCAGCAATGTCACAATACGAAATGTCACACATAGATTGGTTCAACAGTTTAACTCTGTCACTTGCTCTGATCCCTTGAAAAGCTTATGGTTTGGTTGACACTTAACCAGCCTGGACACATAAATGTGTGCAGAGCCTCTGTAAGTCCATAAGAAAGGCTCCAATACTTTATACCTCATATTTAAGCAGATCCCCATGGTGTCCAAAGGGTTAAACCTAGTGAATGCACACTGCCTACACAAGTTGGTTGCCTTACTAAGGGACAACAATTACTACAAAGCATCCATCACCATAGATCAAAGAAGAGCTAGTTGTACACAGGAGTGTAACACAGCTGACAAAGAGCTGTTTACTGCAGACAGAAGCCTCTAAAGTAGGGCAGGACAATCAACACATGAGGTACAGTATACCACATACAACACCTACTGTATGAGTTTGTAAGGCCCGCTGTAGACAGTACAACTGATTTACACCTGTTTGGCTAGCCCTACCACACTAGGAGTGTACTCGGTTGTGTACATGTTGAATCTTCTGTGTGCTGTGATGTGTAGTATGGGTTGACTCCTAGACAAGATAGGTGGTGTGAACTCCAACTGTACACAGCCATTGGCACTCTGTCTACTAGACATGAGTAGGGGTTACCATTGTAGCTGGTTTTGTCTACCTCTCCCCCACTACCTCCTCCCCTTTCTTTCCCCTCCTTCTCTCACCCATCCCTTATAGCTCAAATAACTCCATTCAAAGAAGAAAATTCAGAAATACAAGCCTTTGACTTGTAGCAAGCCCTTTTCTTTAGCAAGCACCCTTTTCACGTGAATATCTGATCTGCTCTGATAGTTCTGAGTGTTACCACTGGAAGTCTACATTAGGAAGTGAATAGGCCTACATCACAAGTAGCTTCTCAGGAACCATTGGTCAGTTGGCTCTAATAACATCATTCCCTATGTAACACTTGCTCTTTAGTTGCGTAAGGGTTAAAACCACCTTATATTGAGCAGGAGGGGACATGGGATATTGCCTAGAGGTGAACTGCAACCTGTACACCTCTTCAATGGCAAAGTCTGAAAGGAAGGATGAGCTACTACTTGACTTGAAGGAAGTTGCGCATGAAATGCCAAACATCCACCTTATTTCACTATCAGATGCCTCAACATCCACAATAATATGCCCATAAATAGTCACCAGTAAGGAACAGGAAAAGCAATAGGAAATGGCATCAAATGTACACCGCATCCTTTATCTAAAGTTCACTTTTCTACAGGAAAGCGTTAGGATGGGTATGCACCTCATTTCAGGGGTGTCCTTAGAGGGGGGACCAGTATCACATATCACACCAACTAACAGAGGGGTCAAGTAGTAAAGAGTTGTCTCCACAGGAGGAAATAGGAAATAGTCCAGGAAGCAGGAGGCCTATACAACAAATGTCTATTACCCAGCCTCTTTGGGAAGGGCACATATGCACAGTTGGCAAGATTCTGTTGACCCACACACGCACTCTGTACTCTGTACTTGCATGCCTCACTACTAGGGCTACTCAGTGCATTATACATTATACAGTCATGTGTGTGGGAGTGTGCTAGAGGGCCAAAATAGGTGCTTGAAGTGAAAGGGAGGAAGCATGCCACCACCACCACATCAGGGGGAGGATAGGATTGAGGTCATCTCTTTACTAGTGTAGCTATAGCAACAACAATGTTTCCTCGGGTCTCACCTGCCCTGTTTGCAATCTCCCTGAATCTGTTCCTGCTAACTGCCAGCAAGTGTTGTGTTGAGAGTATCGGGCAAACAATGGCACGTATTCATCCTACTATTTTACGTAGTTTTTGCAAGTGACTCTCAAATTAAAACTTGGTCCCTAAATGCCAAGTGATTGCTGTATGTTTATGCATACTAGGGTAACCTGTACCTAAGCCTGCATTATTCGACATTGATTAGCCATTCTTTGATCTGATTGGAGAATCCATTCTGTGATCTGATTGGAGGTTCCATGATTTTGAGATCTTAGAACCAAGCAATGTGTCAATAGTTCACACCATACATACCCCTTTCCCAGGTGGTAAGTGGGTGGGTGCTTGGTAACTGGGTGGCAAAGATAATATCATGGCTTGTGTCATAGCTTGACACTGCAGTTTAAGAAAGGTTAGAGTTGTATATACAGAGTCCGAGAGAGAAAGCCAAAATTGGTAATCCAAGAGAAGAAGGAAGCACAGGCACTAACTAGGTACTGATTCAAACTGAAGTCATCGTCTCTAGCTAGCAAGCAACAACGTGCAACATCTCCTGGGTTACTTCCCTGCCTAGATTGCAATGCATATGACTACTCCATTGTATTGACATAGAGTAGGTTGCAATGCATGCATAATTTGCACAGGGGGGGTTTACAAAGAAGCCATTTAGAATGATAAGTGGGTGACATGATCACGTTGACATTTTCTTTGATCTGGTACTATAATAGTCACACATACAAGTATAGTACATGGTAGCTATAGAGTGTCTCTATCATATTATAGATCATGTGACAATAATGCTCTGGCTACAAAGAAACCACATTCAAAATGCAGCATTCATAATTATAGCTAGCCTCGCTACACAAAAACACCTTGCTTGCAGAAATACCCATATTTATACATCCATGGTTCAAGGTGCAAAATGGGTTTCAGCTAGTATGGCACATAGAGATAGTTGCTATGCCATAAGACATCAGTACAGGTACATACACAATTATATAGACATAATGGCACCAGGGCAGTATACTCATGTTGTGGTGAATAAGAAGCCATAGTCTTCACTGGCTGTCTTTAAGGGGTATACAGTTAGAGAGAGGATAGAAAGAAAATACAGAGTACAGAGCATATGCAGCTGTTTTCTAGCTGTTTTTCCTATCCTTCTGACTGGTATACACACCACACGTGTACACCCACACAAATTATTATAGCCACCCTAGCGCTAGCGATTAAGAGGAAGATGTGCATTTTCACTACCCTTGCCACAGAACTCTCGTTTTCTTAATAGCATAAAACACACACCATGGTTTGAAAACACTATTGTCTAGTGTGCAGCAGAAAAAGGCTTAGCATTACAATCTTGGAATATGTATATATACAGTTCCGGATTACACCGAACTGCTTCTTTACTTCCTTTCACCCGTCCATTACCAATCACCCGAAATGCGCATGTTTCGTACACAATCGCTGTAGTAACCGAGCCATTGGATAATTGGAGAAAGACGGGTCAAACGTTATGATGGTTAATTCGAGAGAATTTGTGGCAACTAGTGGAGATGGGCTAAGGGACATACACACACAGAGTACACTAGGCAGGCAACGCCGGACACAATGAACTGCACTGTCACCGTGCAACGCTACGGCCGTTGTTTCAGACAATGTACACAGTATACATAATTTACAAGTACATTACAAGATGACACTACTGTGCAGAACTGTGTCTCTACTCTGACTGTTTCCAGAACTTGTATATAGCAGGAGGATATTGGAGGATATTTGACAGAAAAGTGTATATACACACAGAGCACTTTTGTTTTAGCTACTACATGGGGTAGAAAGGTATGTCTCTACTTTGGCTTCGAACAGCCTAATTGTTGGCTAGCTGGTGTGCAGTTTCGTTTCCTTGTTCTCAACTTTAGCACCAGGTGTCGTTTTCCCTGTGCGGTTGGCTACATAAGTTGGGTAAAAGCAACCGTCACTTAGCCGCGTGGGTAAACATACACCGACCGTAAATTCATCATGGACACACAAGTATGAACCATTGAACGCTAACGGTTGAGGCGAACAGCCCTAGGGCATTTCGGATAGAGTTTCCCACGACGTACTGTATCCAACGGCAGAATACACGACGATGAATACTTATTTGCTACCAGTAAAAGCTTGCCATAAACTCACCGCTAAAACTCTGTCTTTCTCGTCGAGTTCTTTACCTTCTGGGACTAGGTAGACGCTTCTGGCTCTCTCGCGTTCTGCAAAACTGAAAAAAGTGACGAACGGTGCGCGATACGCAACGTAAATACGCACTAGTTTGCGCATGCGCACTAAAGAGCTGAATCAGCGTTTATTTTTGTCAATTCAGCAGTCACACGGACCCGTGGCTGCTCGCTCAGTCAGTGCTGTGCCCAGATTTCACTCAAAAAGCAGCAAAGTCATGGCGTCCCAAGATGATTCCCCGAGTCAGGAGAGTGAAACGGAGCCTCTGAAATTAGTAGAGACGCCAGTCGAAGCCGTTGCAGAGGTAAGAACGCCATACCTCCACAAACCGGACAGGTCCGGATATACTCGGTTCATCTCTCTGCAGGTGGTGACGTCAGTCAGATCAGCATGGCAGGACCTTCGATCCATACCCATTGGATATCGTGCCAGCCAACTTAGATCCCTGAGAAAAATGATCAAAGACAACATAACTAGGTTTGAAGAGGCAGTCTGGAAAGACCTTAGGAAGGTAAGGGTTAAATTTAAAATGTGAGGAGATTATCGAAGGATGGAAACTTAGAATTTCTTATTATCATGGAACTAGTAGCTTGTTATCTCTCTGGTTTTTGTGACAATGCCCATGTTGTGGTTTGGTTTGTTTTGTGCGTCTTGCTGCGCTTGCTTCTGACAATGGGCAGCAGATGTTAGTTAAACCTTGACCCTCCCTTTGGCTATCTGTATTGTACCTTTGTCCCGCCAGATACTATCTTCATCATCTAATCCCTACATGTTTTCTCCCCCTCTTCTCTCTCTATCTCTCTTTTCCTCCTTCCATCCCTTCTCTTTCCCACTTCCCCCCTCCCGCCCCTTCTCTCTCCTCAGTCACGTCAAGAATTCACAATGGGAGAAATAAACCTAATCCTAACTGACATCTCATACGCCCTCACAAACCTCCAGAAATGGTCGTCACCACGCAATGCACAGAAGGACTTGGTCCATCAATTTGACAAGATGTACCTCATGCCAGAGCCCTATGGAACAGTGCTGATCATAGCTCCATGGAACTACCCCATTGGTCTACTGCTTGAACCACTTATTGGAGCTATTGCTGCTGGTATAGTACAGTTCTATGCTGCGTCCTTTACTTATTGGGGCATGAAGCATCGTCTTTTTAAAATTGCCAAATTTTCTATGTGTCCAGTGGAACTAATCCAGACACCAATGGGACTGAAGAAAGTGTCCATATTAGTGAGGTGTCTTTGTTTTAAAGTGCATGCAAGAACTGTTCTTGGGGAAAGAAACCAAGGTGTCCTAATATTATGAGGGGTGTCCTCAGATAGGGAGGGGTTCCACTGTATTTACACTTTGCCAGTAGTGTCTGTGTTAGCATTTCCTTTTGCATCGTGCATCCTGTTTGTGACACCAATCACCAAAAATCACAATCCTCGACATGTACCCACACTATACGATGGCGTCCTCTGAAGCACAGTGTGTTTGTGTTGTGTTGTGTCTGCCTACAGGTAACGCCTGCGTGCTAAAGCCATCTGAACTGTCGGTGGCAACTTCTAACCTCATGAGCGAGCTTGTCCCTCAATATCTTGACAAAGTCAGTTCTCTTACTCTATATACAAGCCAAGGACAAAGTACACCCACAGCCTAGTCCATGTATATGATTAGTTATGAATTGTGTATAGCGAAGTATGTTGTCATAAATCACGTAAATTTTCTTGATATTAGAGTCAGCTGTCTCGCTTTCCTACCATAGAAAACTCTTTTGTGTGGGTTGCAATTTGTAGATAGCTTGCTTTGCTGCGAAATTTCACTTAGCTGTCCTGTAGAAAACTCTTTTGAGGTTGCAAGTTGTAGAATTTGATAGATATACAATGATAATATCTTGCTGCGAAATTTCACTCACCCAAAATTTACACATTTTTGTCCCTTGCAAAGTGCAGAAGATATGAAAATTGGCTTTTAGTTGGCTAACTGCATTGACAAAAAAAACTTTCGCGAAATCTTTTCTCCAAACTTTTTTTAACTAAAGTATGTACATATACTGTACTATATGTTGTATATACTATATGCGTCGCACTCAGGATCTCTACCAGGTGGTGACCGGAGGAGTGGGTGTGGCTACAGAACTGCTGAGGCAGAGGTTTGACTACATCTTCTTCACAGGGAGCACGGCAGTCGGGAAGATTATCATGAGATGTGCCGCGGAGCACCTTACGCCCTGTACGTGCCTGGACTGGGCGGAAGAAGTTTGTATGAATAATGACACTGTATTATCCATACATAGAGTTGAACTCTGAAAAGCATATCTACGCATACCTACCTACTAGCACGTGGTCATCGCAGCATGTTTTGTCTTGAGTAAGCAAGCACAAAAATAGGCTGCCTATGCGCACGCAGAAATTGCAAATCAGCTGCTCTTTTTTGCCACTGCATGCTCTACATTCTTGAATGCGACACACAGCATTTAGTTCACAAGTAAAATACTCCAATCAAGGGCAATTTGACACATTTCTGCAAGCAAAGAGTTCATCTGATCTGCAAGTGTGGTAGGTAACGCTATGATGTCATAGCCTCCGAATAAAGGACACCTCCCTCTATGGTGCTTCTGCAAACAGCACGCTGACATGTTTGTGCCTTGCCTTTCTAGCCCCACCTCGTTACTGGCTATAGTTGCGTTGTTGAGACATATAGATATAGTTATGTGAGACCTTGCGATGAAAGAAAACTAACTTAAGGACACCTCTGCTATAAAGATGCTTGGTTCACTTTGCATGCCGCATACTGGTGATCATCCTGACATACATACATACATATCTAGTGATCGCGCCTGCAGCACTACGTCCATACACTACTAGTGATCACCTGAACAACATGCATACATACATATTTTGGTTTTTTTTTGTGTTTTGTTCATACATAGACTAATCGTAGGGTTTCACTCTGAAAATTAGGACCCTCCGAACAAGATAACTCTTCTATAAGTTGATATGTACTTCGCATGAAATAAAATTAGTGCTGCTTTGATTGAACACCTATTAAAACCTGTGCCATATTTGAAAGTGTTTTCTTGTGAGCTTACATACATGTAATGCATAATATCCTGGAAGAACTTACTTCCTCGGCTGAAAACAGTTTCCTTTACACACAGGAATTATTTACGAGCTTTTGGAGTGTGTAAATTACTTGCTGCTTGCGGGCTATTGTAATATTTCGAGAGAGAGTAATTGGTCGCAATAATTAGTGGTGGAGGTAAGGGGTCGTAGGAATAACCGGAAATAGGGTTGTAGCTCGGAAATGGTTGTTTTTAGTGTGGGAAGAACTTTGAATCTTCCTCCTGTACGTTGTTGTTGAAGAGAGTTTCCTCTCTCTTGAAAGGGATCTTGAAGCGTTTGAGCTACGTAAGGTACCAGTGGTAGATATAGGTACTAGTCATGCTGCTTGGTGGTGGGGTTTCCAGGAATACCACGGTGCGTTTATTCCACTTTATCATGTGTTCTTATAAGAACTCTAGTATGGGTGGTAGCCTATGGGACTGGTGTGCACACACACCACAACACACACAACAACTGACTGCGAGTCAGGTGGGAGAATATCTCGATGGGGAAAGGAGATGGAAACTTTCTCTTGTGGACGGTCCTGATCGCAATACCACTGTTCTCCACGTTGTAAACTCGGCGGCGTGTTCCATTCCACCTTTTTTGTTTGAAGTTTATATCTCATACACATGCACATGAAAGAAGCCTTTGATGTGTCCCGGGCGCTGATTCTTGCTGAGCAGTGAGGGGGAAATGTAGTAAATAGGTTATAAAATATAATGAGATCAAGACATCCGCGTACGTGCAAATGTATTATGAAAATTTATTTGTATGTATTGTCGTATGAACTCAAGATTAGACGTAATAAAGATAGCGAGGCGGAGAAATGCTGCATGGGAAAGGGTCGTGGGTGGCTGTTCCCGGATCTCCTTCCCCTCGCCCTCTTCATGCACCTGACTCTTTCCCTTTTTACCTGTTCTTCTCGCCAAAGAAACAACCTACTCCGCGTACAGGGGGGGAGTCAAGCTGGAAGGGGGGTCCGGGAATTCCGGAAAAGGAAAAAGAAGAAGCCGCATCGTCCCTCTCGCGCTGACTCCTTCCTTTTCCTTTCTGACTCATCGGCCAACCGTCTCCCATGGCGAATCCGTGTCTCATGTACCACGCCACCTCCGCATCTGCTTTGAACAGAATAGCTCATCTGGACTCCTCTATCCCGTTTTCGTTTCTCCCCACCGTGCGGTGCCCTGCCTCCGATCTCTTTGTTCCGCAACTGCGCAGGGTCTCGCGCCTCATTCGTGCCGAATCCGACGCGCCTCGTCTTCCCGAACTCCGCCTTTTCCTCCGACTGCCCACTCCATCTGACCCGTGATGACGCCAACGGCAGCTGCACGTTCCTCTGGCCGTTCCGCTTTCGCGCCCCTGTCCGAAGTGCGAAAAGCGAAAAAAGAGGAAGAGGGAGAGGAAGAACGGGAAATAGGAGACCCTGGCGGACGGAAAGCAAAAAAAAGTGCACCGGTGTGAAAAGGAATGAGGAGAAAAGAAAGAGAAAGAGAAGGAAGGAAAGGTAAAAAGAGAATAGGATGAGAGGGAAATAGAAGGAAGGGGAGGGAAGGGTAGGAAGAAAAAATATCAAGCGTAATTACATGTTAAAACGAAGCAATCGGATGAATGACTATCAGTGGTCCTGTCCTTTCTTCTTCCACCTCTCACTCCTCCCTTCCTTTCACCCCTCTCGCCTCTTCTGCGTCTGAGCTCTCTTCCTTTTCCTTTCTTCTTTTCTGGTCTTCCTCCCACCTCTCCTCTCCTTCCTTTCCCCGCTCCCTCTTCTGCTCTTATCCGCTTCCTTTTCCTTTCTTCTCCAACCTCGGGACGGGTTGTCGGCATTCCCCTTCGTCTCTGCCCCTCTCCCTCTCCTTCCTTTCCCCCTCTCCTCTTCTGCTCGACTCTCCTCTCCTCTCCCTAATCCTGTGTCTAAGTGCCGTAGGTGATGCCAACAATCGAGTAGCTGCAAGCCCGTCAGAATAATGGGGGGGTTGGTGGGCGCAGTCTATTTATCATGTGTGGGGAAAAAAAGAAAACGGGGACAATGGTCCTGCTTGTACCCCTCGGATTACGTCCTGTGGTACCGAGCCATCAGAGACCAGCTAATGTTGAGAACCTGCAGGCCACCCTACCGAGTTCTATGAGAGGTACAGTTGAACCACTGGCATATCACTTAGTACATAGTACTAGTAAATGGGATGGGCATGTCCTAGCTCATAGATGCCAGTAATACTTCAAAGTATTGGGGAAGACCATCTTTTTTCTATGAGTTTGTATAGCTCAGGTGTAGTGTTTACTGGCACCGACGCCGAGGTTCAACTCCGGCAAGTCTGTTCCTTTATTTCTTCCTCCTCGTGACTTTGTTTTTCTTTCCTTCACCACTGAACTTCTTCTTTCACGAGATTTGTTTTGTGCACAAAGTCTCTCTGCTATAGAGTAACTGTGTATGTAATCACAATATTGACTGCTGTGGTGTATTAATTTATGATGTATGTAATGTATGTAACTTTCTTGGATGTGAAAGATCGGAAAGATTTTTGGACGAATCATTCAACGCTTGCCATTTCCCAGTACGTGCGATACATGACACGGATGTGTAACTTGGCCATGGTGTGTGTTACACTGTGTTAGTGTGTGTGTATGTTGTCTGTCCAAGAGTACTGTGAATTACTAGAGATTGCTGAGTGTTTACTGACTGGTTGTGTAGGTGAGCTATCTGATACTGTGTGTGTACGTCGTGGAGTCGCCTGAAGACTCTGTGGACGGCGTGAAAGACAACTGTCGTATCTGGAGGAGACGCAGGTACACACGTGGGCCTATGCACCTGACTCTTGTATTAAACCAGTGTATGGATATGTTACACATGCGGTTCTATGCACAAAGTTGCATGAGTAGATCCGCTCAGGTATGCGTCTGTTTCCGGCACGTATCAATCGGACACCTCACTATCAGACACCCCTAATCAGGACACCTCCTAATCAGACACCTCACTAATCAGGAACACCTCACTGATCAGGCCACCTCACTAATCAGACACCCTCACGATCAGGACACACCTCACTAATCAGGACACCTCACTAATCAGGACACCTCACTGATCAGGACACCTTACTAATCAGGACACCTCACTGATCAGACACCTTACTAATCAGGACACTCACTAATCAGGACACCTCACTGATACATAGGCGCTGCACTAACAAAAGAGCTCTTCATTATAGGCATTGACACTTGGACGCAGTATAATACAGGACACCCACTGATACAGTGACACCTCACTGATCAGACACTCACAGGAGACTTCACTGATTCAGGACACCTTTCTCAACCAGGACACTGCATCTTCAAAACACCTCCCGACTCAAGTTGTTCGAAAATCCACTATTCAGGACCCGTCATCAATCAGCCTTGATCACATCTGGGTCATACTGTGTATGAGTCGTTCTCTCTGCCAATGTCAACAGCCACATATGACCAGCTCACTGATCCATCTTTTGATTCCTTTTAAAACGTCCTCCCGTGTGTTTGTGTACAGCT